ACACAGATCTAGAAGTGATATCAAAAGATCGTAGACAATTGTCTGAAGTTGGAGTGGTAATTCTTTCTTATAAATTGCATTACACATTTAAAGCTTTGTTTTTAAAAAGGACCAAAACTGTTTGTAATGAAAGCTTATTCTTCTAAATGTGTGTACCTCACATATATACACATGCACATTTATTCACATACATATTTGTTTGTATAAAATATGTATGTTTTGTAGAAAATTTGAAAAAATAAATTAAGACAAAAATCACTTAAGATTCACCTAAAGATGTATTTATTCCAGTCTCTTTCCCTTGTTTATAAACAGAATCTATTTATTTTTTATAAAATTGGGCTCGTTCTATATTTAAAATGTTTAAATCAGTATTCAACAATGAAAATATAATTGTATACAGAATGGTTAGCTTTCTAAACACTAGAAAGGGAGTAAGTATACCTTAGCCTGTAAGTAGTAATGTAAATTGAGGGCTTCCAAGCAAATGTTTCAGAGATGACTGACCTGCTTATCCTTAGTCTATTCAGGTAAAGCCTCAATAGCTGGACTTGGATGAGAACTCTGGCTTGACTACCTACAGTGGTGTTTAGTTAACTTACGAAGCTTTTGAAAACTGTGAAGCACTGATGATGTTGAACCCTGTTGCCCCACCCCCGGCGGGTGGGTTTCAGGACAGATGCTGAGGAAAGAGCAGTGAAGAAAAAGTGAACTTGGGTTTATACCCGGGCTCTCCCAACAGTGGCTCCAGGAAGTTCCAACAAGACCCTCATCTCTGCATTTGCTCCTCTCTTGAACATTTGGTGTGACCACCTCGGTCCTGCCCAGCTCAGAACATTGTCAGGAGTACATGAATTGATGGAAATGCAAACCCTCTGTAAACTTCCTAGTCATGCAAACACTCTTCAATAAGGCTCTTCATACCCTCCAGAGCATTTAATACCTGGTGGGCGCTCTCACGGGTCTCACTTCTAAGATTGGAAGGTATGGCTCTCTTTGTGAAATTCAAACAGCAGTGTAATTTCCGTGGAGTGGCTCCTATTTATCTGTAAGGATCAAAGGCAGAATTTCCCTTCCTGTAGGTCCCTGACTATCTTGCCATACTGTTCTACATCTAACACTCCACCTCCTTTTATTCTAACAAAGTGTTCTGCCCATCTGAGGTGGTTACCATCCCCCAACATTACCACCCTGCCTGGTGTGTTACTTTCCAGTTCTCATAGTCCCACTGTCCTTCCCAGTTGACCCAGAGCATCTCCCCCCTGGTATCTGATTATATGGTTAATTTCCAAACAGAACTTCCAGTTATTCCTTGTGGGATTTTTTTCATGGTTAAGCTATTCCTCACACCCTGTCTCTATCACTTCTTGCGCCCTCTCCTTTTGATCCTTTCTATAGGACTGGTAACTTTGCCATCAAACATATCCAATTGACAAACTGCTATTACTAAGTGTCCAAGATGCCAATCTATAAACATGTTCTTATTAGGTAAGCTTATTTGTCCATTTAATTTTTCCACACTAATGCCACAACCACAGGAAGGTGAGGCCTCTCATGTTCAATCTTGCTAGGCTTTCTCTCTCTCTCTCTCATGTTTAAATAAAAATTCCTTTTGTCTTATCTAGATAAAACACCTTAAATGTAACAATAAGCCCCAACCAGAGGGGGTTGTACACACACCCACACAAGCCCTGAGTGGAATGTGCTGTCTTAACATATCAAATACCAGGATGAGGACACCTGGCGTATGTTATCACACTTACAGAGCGCGGGTGGCACAATCAATCCAGTCAACATCCCTCAAGTTGTAAATAGTAAATTGTTTAAGTAGATCTATTAATTCCCTAAAGAAATATTTTCAAAACAACTAAACAAAAAACTTTAAGTCAGTTTGAGGAATAACTTACTTTTACCCTATCCCATTTGGCAGCACCCCCTTCCCGCACCAGTTTGGATTCCTGCTGGGTTCGGGGAGGGCAGGAAAAGGGAAGAGCATAAGATATCAGAGTGAAAATGGAAGCAGCAAAGATAAACAGAATGAAAGGGATTAAAAAGACATTCATTTGTGAGGTTGATCAGAATAGGGCTAAAATTATCAGAATTCTAATATTTGTTTTGCTTCCCCATGAGAGGAGAAAAATTAAAAACTCATGCTACATGTTATACTTGTTTTGCTTGAATTAATGATAACAATGTCAACACACATATCCAACAATCCATAGTCTTGGGCCTTTTTCCTTAATTTACATTCTCCCAAATGGCCCTACTATTTAGCATTTCTTCATACGGTGTCCTGCTTCTCATACTGTCCTAGCTCTGCAGGGCTTGCTTCGGCTCTCCTGCGACCCAGGCAACCCAGGACTGCTCCACCCCGTAGACCTCTCCCTCTGAAAGCCACTGGGCAGCTGCCACGTGCTCCTGGTTACTCCTCCCAGAAAGAAATCACACTTCATCTGCCATTAGAGCCTCTTTTCCTTACACAGAATGATGGTACGCAGCACGTACTCAGATCGATTTATCCCTATAATCATCTAACAGGCATTTATCCATTAACATATGAATACCACACCTGCCACTAAACACCAGGGTCCAGTGGCCCCTGTTCTTGCTCTGAGTGTGACTGCTGATCATGTGTGTGTGCCAACCTGGCTCCAGTGGAGGATCACCGTGGCTCCTCAGCCAACCCCCAGAAAGGCCATCTGGAATCAGATGGTAATTAGGGCTTAGCATGAGGCTTAAGCCCGTGTCAAAGTTCCCATGTTACTAAGGGGCTGTTCAGGTCTCCAAAGAGGGTTTTCCAGGTGTAGCGTGCTTCTCTGCCAGCTCAGTCCAGATTCATTGTATCCACTATAAACCTGCCTTTTGGGCGGGAGACTGGAGGCATCACCAGTTACACCCACCACTCCTGGGAAGTATACAGCGTCAGTAATTAGCCATCTCTCAGTCACAGAACATCACAGAGAAGAGCTATGGATATGCAAATCTTCGTTATTCATCATGAACACTCAGGGTAAAAACAGTTTTAGCATCTTTTTATGCTCTCAAAAAAACATTTCAAAGAAAGAAAATTACTTACTGCCTTCCCACGTACAATGCAAAAGATTCAAGGCCCCTTCCACCCTCTTCCAGTGTGCCAGATGAAAGAAAGCATATGCGATTGCTTCACTGTCTCCTCTCTTCAGGATATGTTCTGGGGGTAGTATTAAGCTTTTCATTTCTAGTAGGTACTGAAATAAAAGAGGCAGGAGACAGATGCGTTAATACACAGGAATCTGGAATTCAATACTGAAAATAGAAAGGCTGATTTCCCTAAAGCCACCACTCATAAGCATTTCATCAAACTGCAATCTCATTACTACATTTGAAGGCAATTACTAAAACACCCAGCAATCCAAAGTTTGCTGACAGATAATTAGCCTTGTACTAGTTTTCTTCAGTGAAGATAAGAGGCTTTCAGGCTAACACACTCTAATAAAAATAATAAACACAGATTCAAGAGGCAAGGAGGAAAATTTAGAAGACACGGTAAATTGGTATAATCTTGTAGCCAGAATAAAAATACATAAAATAGACACGTGAAGGTTAAGAAGTAAATATGACTAAACCAATTGCACTAGAGAGACTTGGGGTTGACTAGCACCACCCACTAATTTTTCTGTACAGATCTATCAAGGAGCAGGGTCGAGCCTTGTGAAAAGGGCCACCTAGCGCTGCTCTGATGCTGCAGGGAGAGAGGGGAGGGAGGGGAGCAATACAGACCCCAAACCACAATGTTCTTTTAGATCTTTTCCCAGAGACTGGAGGGTTCTGTTTGCATCTCTTCATTCCTATCTTCTAGGAAGCGGGTGGGAGTACAGGGCAAGAATGGATTTTCTTCCAGGGGAATCAGAGAAAACTAAGTCTCCATTTGTATTCTTCTGTGTTTACAATGGAATAGAAAGGGAAGCAAATTCAGGATGGTATTTTATATTTGCAAGTGCTGACTTCTCTTTGCCGGCTAGCTGGTGTTCTCCCTGTGCTCCGCTCCTCATTATCTCCTCTCCTGATCAATCCCCCAAAATGCACCCACGACCACCACCAGCCAATCCCTGCACCCCCTTTCATATGGAGATTAGCAGACAATGGAGGAATGTATTTAATTCCAGTGGGGCAAACAGCCAAAGAAAGTGCTATGAGAAGAGATATTCAACAATTTTAATGTCACAAATACTTGTCTGTGGATTATCTGTCAGAGGAAATTGATGAAAGAAGGGGAAGAGTGGAAGAATCCTGATACACAGGGTGGAGATTATGATTCACCCATCAGTGTTTCTTTATCATCTAGCTGCAAATTTACGTGTTTTGGGCATGCTGGACAGAGCTGCCTTCCTACTTCCTCTCTGGTGGGCTTACCTGGGGTCAGGGTAACTGACTAGGAGGGGCCAGGGGGCATGTTCTGGCCTCTTTGTTCAGCAAATAGAACTTCCCTTGCTCTGGGTCTGATAAGAAGAAACCTCCACGCCTCAGGCCTCCAAGCAGGAAGAGCCAGGGAGTGAGAGAGCCCTCCCAGAGAGCCAGGGAGGACAGGGACTCGGCCGCCACCCTGGGAGGGTGCTGGGGTAGAAGCCCTCCTCCACAGAAACACCTCTGCCCAGGCTGGTCCATGAAAGGTGCTTATTATTTTAATGGGAACTCCTCAAGCATGAATTCCGAAGTAACTTTTTGGTCATATGTCTTTTTGAATTCTCCAAGTTACTGCTTTCCTCCTCCATCTTGTTTTAAAACAGTACAGGACAAACATTTTGAATTACCTAATAATCCAACAAGCACTTTATTTATAATGACTATCAACCATACTATAAATATAAAGGTGGATTTTATGTTCTCAGACATTTGGCTATCCTCTCGTGATTCTGTTACCTTAATAGAAGCCATTATATTGTATGTATCGCCCATGGTGATCTTTAAAAAGACTCCAAAGCTATGTATGAATCACGAGAAAGATACCTAACTTCTAAAGTGCCATGAACTATATTAATTGTTTCAGAGTAAGTTAGAGAAGAAAGACCATCTGGTTAGTCTTAATCACCAGGAGGGCAAAGGAATGGGCGTATCTCCTGCCTAATGAGAGTCCTAACATAAGAGGTTTTCTGAGCCTCAAATACTTATTTATAGCCACCCTGCCTACCAAATAGTCCATTTTTAAAGAAGGGTCATGCTGAATGAACTCTAACACAAACTAAATATGAAAACCACTAGCTCTTGTGTCCTAGCTACACAGAAACCTCTTCAGGTCCCTCCCTGAGAATCAGATGGTGGCTAGAAGGAAAGTGTGAACTACTATTCCTCTCATCTTTATGATTAGGGAAGACAGTCAGAGTCAGTTAGCAGCTATGAGGAAACTCTCCTCTTGGCCTAAGGATCTTCGGGAACAGGCCACCTGCAAAGAAGCAGGCCTGTTTTGCCACCCGCATTTGCAGGTAGAAGTCAAAAACAAACTAGGACGGAGTAGGGCAGAAGAAACTGGGGATGGGGATTTTTAAGAAATTATATAAAGGGACATAATAGATTTGTGCTGTCCAGTACGGTAGCCTCTACCACATGTGGCTATTTACATTTAAATCAACTAAAATCAAATAAGTTTTAAAATTCATTTCCTCAGTCCCCACTAGTCACATTTCAAGTCCTCAAGTGCTGTAGGTAATGACTACTGTGTGGGACAAAGCAGAGAGATTTCCATCCACACAGAAAGTTCTATTGGACAGCACTACTGCCGACAGTGGAAGTTTCCAATCTTCAAGAAACAATTTTTAACATGAAAAAATTTCATGGATGCCCATGACAGGAATTATAACTGTAGTATCTATTGATTGAAAATACACAATATGGCAAAAAAGCTACAATAAAAATAATAAAATAAGAATTCATTTAAAACCATTGTTGGCCACGAAGGCCTCTACATCTCTTTGGAAAGCAGTGGTCCACACGTGTGTGAGACAGACACTCCTCCGCCTGCAGCTGGAGGGTGCATTTGGCTCCAAGGCCATTGTCCGCAGCCCCAGTGGAGGGCAGTGAGGTGAGACTGTTTCTCCTGCAGGCCCCTCTCTGATCTCTGTGTATGTGTGCTTCTCACACCCACCTTACATCTGTGCCTTTCCCTCAGCTGCGTCATAAGACCGTCGGCAGCGTGATTCTCACTTCCCAAGCAAGCTCTCAGAACGAGCATCCCGGGCCTACTTAGCCTCCCGGGCTCAGGACAGCAACTCACCCAGGAAACTCTGCTGCCTTCTCACTGCATCTACTTTATGGCAGAAATAGGTTATGCCTATAAAGGAAAGTTATACTCTTGAAGTTCCAAATGAGACATTAGCTCTACCAAATGATGAAGGCTAATTACAACGTGTTATGTTTCTGGCCTGGCTTAAAATAGCTGGCAAGATCAGTTCTCAACATGCGCGACATTTAAATTAGAAAGGCATCGAACAACATTTCACGTCTTACTTGTCAAGAGAAAAATAAATGGAAGAGGGCATTCCCCTATCCACAAGTATGAAGAAATCAATTAGAATAACTGCAGCTTGCAAATCAGAGAACATTCTCTACCTGTCTGTAATTATTTGGCTTCTATTAGCTAAGCAAGCATTCTGGGCTATCTTCTGCCTGCCACCCTGCCTCTAACTTTCTTCCCAGATTCTCAAATCACATTAATCTCGAAGTACAGGCTTCTAAAGATTTCGGAAACAACTTTTCAAAACCTTTTTGTGTCAGAATCTAGTTCCTTATTCTCAGTGTAGGAACACATAAAGAGGAGCTGAACAGTCCCCGTTTATGGTGCATGGGCAGCGTCTACATAGGGGGGTATTTGAGTAAAGGCTGGTGTCCCTGCCAGGAAAGCAGCAGGGAGATGTGGCCCATCAGAGGCTATCCTAAGTGACTGTTCACATCTCTTCTGCTGAGATCTTACATTTCTAAAGTAATTGAATGAAAGTGATCACAAAGTTATCCTTTACAAAGATATTTGTGCCAAGAAATTAATTCAGACCCCCTTTCTTTGGTTTTCAGTAATAACAATAGCAGAAATCAGTAGCAAAAATATGGGAATAAACAAAATGAGACAAAACAGATTAAATTACAGTACATTTAGATGACAGCTATCAAGTTGCTCCCAAAAATCAGGTAGTGGAAAAGTATTTATCAACATGAGAAAATGTTCTTGATATATTACTAAATGGGAAAAAAAGTAAGTGTAGCATACAGATTAAGTCTATATGCAGGCATTGAAAATATTGGAAGGTCACAAATTGAATATTAATGATGGCTAAGTATTTGATTTTATTGGGGATTGATTTCTTTTGTGCTTTTTCTGTACTTTCCAAGTTTCCTTTAATAAGCATTTTCATTTCTATCTGTGTGTATCTATATATACAGTTTATACATACATTTTATATATATATATATATGCATGTGTGTATGTACATATGTCATACAAACCTATTTTCTTGACTTGCATCAAAAACACAAAAAGCAACCACACCAGTACAAGCTAATAAGAGACAGCAATTTTTTGTGTGTCTACAGTGTTTTGGTGCAACAGACTCTGAAAGAGGCTATAAGCCCAGAAAGCATATTTTAAAATGTCAGTTAAGAGTTCAGAGAATAAACTTGTGTTATTTGGAAGACATGCTATAGATCCTGAGTTTCAATGCTGCCTACTCCCTGGACTCAGTATAGGGACACACCCTGGAACAGGACAGATTGTGTAAGTAATCACCACTTGCTCAAGGCACACTGTGATGGGAGAGAGGCACAAAGGGCTACGACCCCCGGCCTCACGTCCACTCTTCTGCCCTCTGCCACCTCAAACCACTGTTTGAATCATCCTGGCTCTACTATTGTACTATAAGACCTTGGACATGTTATTTAATTTCTTTCCACCTCAGCCTGCTCATCTGTAGAGCCAGAGTAATAAAAAATAAACAATTGCTGGTTTTAACTTCTGAAGATTACATAGAACAATACATGTAAAACATTCATACAGTATCTGGCATGTTAAGTGTCCATTAAACAGTTATTTTGGTAACAAAGAAATGAAGTATTCATTTTACTGTGGGGGTAAGTTATGTATTTTGTGTATGTGTGTCCCGCAGATCATTGGGTCTGTTTCTAGTAAAACACTTCAGCAACTGAACAGCAGTATCAGGTTAGCTGAAAATAACTGGTTACCAAGGGTCAACAACCAAACACTATG